CGGGCCCAGGCGGCCTCCCCCGAGCGAGGAGAATGGAGGCAGCGGCGGCGGCAGCTTGGCCCCCGCAGAGGCGGCAACAGCAGCAGCCGGGGGAGCCGGGGAACGTGCCGGCCTGCTGGACGAAGTGGAGCCCCTGCGGCCCGACGAGCTGGAGCGGCTGGCCGGCTGCGAAGAAGACGAGACGGGCTGGTGAGGCGTAGGGAGGAGTGGAGGAGATGGTGGTGGTGTCCGGGTCGTTGGGGCGGGTGGGCTTGGTTGGCGGAAATAGGTAAATCCGACGCTGTCCTGCTTGTTTAATTAAACCCGATGGTTTCGAGACCATTACACAGCTGTGCAATTAAAACTCGTAATTTTAATTTTGAAGGGCTGGGTCTCCCCTGCCCCATATTTGGGCGTCCGACAATGAGAAAGGCAAGACAGCTCAAGAGGCACTGGCTACATGCATGTTCCTGTACGGAGCAGTTGTTCCTAGAGCTATTGCAGCCCAAGGGAGGAGTAAAACCCGGCCTTCCTTTCTGTTTTTTCTTTTTCTTTTTTTGGTGTGTGCTTTATCTTAAATCTGGTTGGCTCCAGGCAACTCCGCTTTCTAGACCGTCGTCGTCGTCCTCTTCTTGGGGTGGAAAGTCTGGGGCTTTTACAAGTATTCTTTTTCCAACTAAAGAAAGCCCTGTTTCCCAGAAAATAAGACCTAACCCTTTTCCAGCTAAAGAAAACATGTCATGTTATCTACCCTGTTTCCCAGAAAATAAGACCTAACCTGAAAATAAGCTCTAGTATGATTTTTCAGGATGCTGGTAATATAAGCCCTACCCCAAAAAATAAGCCCCAGTTAAGTGAAACCCTGCCCTCCACCATTGTGCAACAACCAGAAGAAGATGACATGACTGTATTTGAATAAATGCAGATTGTTGTATATGAAAAAAAGTAAAACATCCCCTGAAAGTAGGCCCTAATGTGTTTTTGGAGCAAAAATTAATATAAGACCCTGTCTTATTTTCGGGAAAACACGGTACAGAGAAAGGGTCCACAAATGGAGATTCCCTTTGTCTTCAGTCTATCTTCCTTTTACAGCAACCCAGAATCACAGCAGTGAAGGAAGCCTGTTCAGAGTTGGTCTTTTTTTTTTTTTAAGGTGTGCACTAGACCTTCAGGTTTCTATATTTTAAGATATGTGGCCTTTTTACTATGTGGTACTTAGTTCCATGGATTCTGAAATGCCTAACAAATTAAAATTACTCACAGGAAGTTCAGACATGTTTGTTAGCATAGTGCAGTGCCAGTGACAATAAACTCTAGGGTCTCATTTTTGTGTAGTTTCAGAAAAGATGTTCAAATCATTTGCTTACTGAAATTTAAATTATTTGAGTATATATTCCTATTCTTCTGTCTTCCCGCTTCCCCCACCTCTCAAAGCCTTCACTACCTTGGTTCATAGCTCTCTAGGAATTTGATCCCCTTTTAGTGGAGAGTTTTGAGAAGATACTAAGCAGGTATTCAGCATGTTAGGTTTCAGTGATCTTATCCCTAGATGGATAAAACTTTTATCAGTCCTGAAAAAACTTTTTGAGTGTTTTTTCATGTTTTGTATTGTCGTACCAGCATGCACAACATATGTGTGCGCGCTAATAGTTGTGGTTGTTCACTTTCAAATTGATATGAGGGGTGACACATACCTTTCCAGCAGATAGGTTATGTTCATTTTTTTAAAAAAAAGGTGTAGTGTTTATAGTCACAAAATGCTCTGTAAAATCTGTGGTATATGTATATTTTATAATGGGAATAAAAGCACCATAGAAGAAATAAGAAAGCAGTACAGTGCCAAAGAGGGTAATTATACATATACCTTGATTCTGAAACAGTTGTTTTAAAATATTTTCCTAAAATAAATGCAGTAGCCCACTGGTTAATCACTTCTTTGAAATCTTGCTATCTGAAGTAAGCAGCACAAAAAAAGAGTCCTTTGGAATTACATACTGTATAAATCAAAAGTAGGATAGTTGTGAAAGAATAGCTGCATTGTAATTGTAGAAATGGAGTAAAATTGTAATGAAAGCTATGTGACTCTTGTGTGCCCTGTAGTATTTTCTGCTGCGTTGCTAGAGCATAAGTAAATTCTATAAAGTGACTTGAAATGGAGCGCAGGAAAATGTCTCAGATCAAATGAGAGCACTGGATAAATTATTAGCTCAGTATTATCTATACTGTTCAGTGATTTAGATATCTGGCTATGGAGCCTGAGGTCTGGAGTTCGATTCCCCACTGTGCCTCCTGCAAATATAGCCAGCCTATGTGACCTTGGACAAGCTACACAGTCCCACGCTGCCTCCAAAAGAAGATAATGGTAAACCACTTTTGAGTATTCTCCACCTGGAAGACCCTGAAAAGGGTCGCTGCAAGTCAGAATTGACTGGACAGCACGTTATGATGATGATTATCTGTACAAACTTGTAGTAGCTGTTCAGAGTATCAGACTGGAGTGTTTCTTATCACTACCTTAGAAGTATGCAAAGCACACTCTGCTACTGAGCTGTAACCATTCCCCATGGAAATTTAACAGAAGCACTGGTTTCCAAGTGTGGAAACCAGTGGCCTTCTCACTGTCTGTCTGTTGAGTTAGAAGCCAGTCCTGGTCTTGTCCTCTCCAAACACTTCAGAAGGCTGACATCCCTGGTGTTAAATTATTACTGAGGCAACCAACCCTCTTCTTTCCTGATCGGTCTTTATCTTTGTCTATATGGGTCTGTTTCTCCCCCTTTACTATGACCTCTCTTACTGTGGCCTTTTGAATAAGAACAGATTGGGCACTGGGCAGATACAGTTTCTATACTCTTGAACAGTTGTTTTGATCTTAGATACACTTGAAGAGGCTCAGCCAGTGTTTGTAGATATTTCTGAAATGCAACTATAGTTGTGTAGAGCAACGATCCCCGGTCCCTGGCCTGGGCCAGACCGGGCCGCCGAGAGAGACCTCCCCCTGCCCCCCCGTGCACACTCACCCCTGTCCTGCCCGTTTGCGCCTGTGTGTGCGCTCCGGCTTGCCCGCATGAGCGCCACACAACCATTTTTGCATGCGCACGGGTGGGCGCGGGCCTGCACGAGTGTGCACCACCATTTGCACATGTGCATGATCAGTCATGCGCATGCACAAATGGTGATGCGTGCTCATGCGGGCCCGTCTGCACCCACACGCAAGCACAAATGGCAGCCAGCACGCGTGCAGGCACGTGCCCACCCATGCAAGAGAGTCCGCGCTTGTTCGCGCATACGCGTGAGTGCGGGGGTGCCCCGCCTTCCCCAGCTGGTCTGCGGACTGGAAAAGGTTGAGGAACACTGGTGTAGAGCTACAGAGTACCTTAGTGCAGTGTTCCCCAATCTTTTCCGGTACGCGGGCCGGCTGGGGAAGTCGGGGCGTCCCCCATGCTCCCGCACATGTGCAAACAA